TCCAGGTTCTGGGAAAACCTAAGTGGTATCTGTTTCTTCCTCACAGACAGAAATGTACATTAACCTTTCCAAACTTCAAGAATCTAAGACACAAACATGATAAAAAAAACGCAGGGCCTTGGTGTCTCATAAAAGTAAGCATGGGGAAAATCTCACAGTAATAAGGCATGCAGAAACTTGACAGACCTGACAGGGACAAGTGGAATGTTCATTGCCCCTCTCCCTCCCTCTCTCCTCCTCCTCATGCTTATTGAGCTTTCATTTTAGGATGATAAATCTAGTACTATTTCCCTTCTGATAATCAGCCTATATAACTAGGCACCAGCACCATCAATAACAGGTGTAGAACTGCTAAAGCCCTTGAAGCTGAAATGTGGGGTAATATATGGTGAAACCTTAAACTCCGGTTTTAAAATATTGCCTGGGCTAAACCTCCCGTCTTGTCATGACTTGGAATGCATATGTGAAGGAAACTTTAATTAAAAATAGGATATGATACTTTTTTTCAAGGTTTATTAAAGAGTACGTTCTCTCTCATATCCTGGAAGTGGAAGCACTGGGAACCTTGGGAAGAAGCGATCATGTCCTCTTGGGTTTTATTATACACAAGCAAGGGAAAACTGAGTGTAGGCAGGCATACACCCTGGACTTTAAGAAGGCTGGTTTCAAAAAGGTTAAGGAGCTGCTGCGGGACATCCCATGGCCAGAAAAACTCAAAGAGAAGGGAGTCCGAGATGGAAGGGAGTTGTTTTTTTTAAGGTGAAATATGAAAGGCACAAAAGGAGACCATTCCAACAAGAGAGAAAAGTGGGAGGCATCTGAAGAAACCAACGTGGCAGTTGAGGGAGTTGGGGATGTTCTAAGGAGACTTAGAAGAGACATGAAAGTCAGATTCAAATATCTCAAGGGCTGCCACATGAAACATGGAGCAAGCTTGTTTTCTCCTGCTATGGAGGACAGGACCCAAACCAATGGCTTCAAGTTACAAGAAAGGAGTTTCTTACGAAACATCAGGAAGAAGAGTGGAACAGACTCCCTTCAAAGGTGATGGACTCTCCTTCCTGGGAAGTTTCTAAGCAGAGGTTGCATGGCTATCTGTCATGGATGCTTTAGTTGAGATTCCTGCATTGCAGGGAGTTGGACATTGGGTTGCCTTCTGACTCTACAATTCTACAATTTAGTCATGTTCATTAATTGATGGGGTCCACTTTGAGTAAAACGTAGGTGAATGCCACCCAAAAATTTCCATGCCAGGTCAAAACTGTTTTTCTTTTACCCAGGCATTTTCAAGTTGTTTATTATGTTTAGCCTGCCTCTAAAATTGCTTTTATTAGGGTTTTGCTTGTGTTGCTAAATTCCTGTTTTGGTGTGATTAATTTTAATCATGCTTCGTATATACTTTCCTGGTATCCCCCGAGGATGAAGGGCAGTCTAATCATATTTTAAAATAGTAGTGATGAGAATAATATGCACATAAAATGGGGAGAAGTAGAATAAACCTATGCACACACACACACACACTTATCAAGTACATTCACATAGCAAAGTTTCTTCCATCGTGGAACTCAGCATGGGGCTCGCAAGCGGTCTCCCTCAGGCATTGACCTGACCCAGACCCAAATAGCTTCAGTCAGATGACTACATTGTGTGCCTAAAAAAAGAAGAAAAAAAGAAGGTGGCTCAAAATGAGGTTAGAATGAGGAAGATCCTCACGCAGGACTTAAGGACTAATGGGATTTCATATTGTTGGCTGGACTGGATAAGTAGCAGTGTTCTGGACACTTGGAGATATGTATGTTAAGGAAGCTAGGAAGCAGATGAGGTAGGGCATCACTTGAACCAGAGGCCTTCTTCATCTAAGGCAGGTGCTCCATCCAGGGGCGAAAGAAGGCATCGTAACACCCGGCACGGGGTGTCGCTACGTAGGGCGCATGTGCGGCATCGCTACGTATGACACATGTGCCATACGTAGCGATGCCACACATGAGCTGTACATAGTGGTTTGCTGGCAGCACCGGTCCAGTGCCGTACGGACGGTGCCGGGATCCCTCCACAGCTGCTACAGCCACGAACGGAGGATCCTCTACATGCGGCTGTAGCAGCAATGGAGGGATCCCACCACCATCCGTACGGTGCTCGAGTAGCGCCAGCAGCAAATTGCTATGTACAGCACATGTGCAGCATCACTACGTACAGTGCATGTGTGTGACGCCACACATGCACTGTACATAGCGGTTTGCCGCCGGTGCTGGGATCTTCTGCTCGCGGCTGCAGCTGCGAACGGAGGATCCTCCACATGCGGCTGTGGCGGCGCGATGGCTGCTCGCACTGCTGCGAGCCCCCGCAGGGTGCCTTCTTGTCACCCCCGCAGACATGGCACCTGGGGCACATTGCCCCCCTGCCCCCCCAATTGCGACGCCACTGGCTCCATCCCTGAGCCTAGGACCCTTTTTTCTATTGACTTCTACAAGGGAAGGTAGAAAAATAGAACAGAATCCCAGGACCCTCTTAAGAATATTAGAGGGGTGGGCAGGGGAAGGACTAAAACAACAACAACAATTTTTAATTTATATCCTGTCCATCTGTCTGGACACAGGACAAAACAAACATTAAAAACAACAAACATTAAAAAAACTATATATCCTATACAAACATCAAGCCAATAAATCAATAAAAACCAACAACAACAACAATAACCAGTGTACAGTTATACCCAAATTAAAATAACTGCCAAGCCCAACTGATCATTTAATCAACACCAACCCGACAAAAATGAAACAGAGGAACCAAAATTAGAACTGTTTAAAACATTTTAAAGCATTTTAGCCAGTTGCCCCAGCCCAAGAGTTGTTCCAACAATATCCCAGTGGTCTCCCAGAGCCTCTTTTAGCTGTTCAGGGTAAGTGTGGTCCACACCCCCTAGGCCAGGTGGAAATGGGCCTTGCAGCAGGGAGCAGGTCTTCCTTCCAGCACTCAGGGCAGCAGCACTAGATCTTGTGAAAAGTGAACATAATATTTTAGCCGCCGTTCATTCATTTTCAGCTTTGTATTCTTGTTATAAAAAAGCATGGCTAGACATTTTGTTGTTGCACCCATAACCTAGGTTTAAGGTGCCATTTAGGTCCTAGCTTTCATATCTCAGTTTCTAACACTGTGTGTATCCTCTTTCCTGGAAATAAACTGCAGTGAACTCAGTGAATTTGCTTCTAAGCTGATTGCACTGCTGAGAACTACACTGTTGAGAATTATATCATTGCACTGTTGCTAACTCAAACTGTGGCTGACTGTCCTTCATTTGTAGTTTCAGACATATGCCTTAGACACAAACGGAACATTAGATGCAGTAAAAAATCCAGGATCCTACAGACACAAAAAGATCAAGGCATGAAGAGAGCTTGAAAATGAAGCTCTGAGGTGTATTGGGAATAAGAGAGTTAATTTATGTAACATTTGTCTTTGGAGACAGTCTCAGAGAAGAATGATATTTGAAGCTGGAAGATTAAGGGTGGAAAAAAAACTTCCATTGTTAACATGTGCTGTGAATGTAAATATCAGACAAGGCACAAATGAAATGCAGAATAAATGAAGGAAGATTTCTTATGTTATTTATACACTGGAAAAAATAAACTCAGATAGCTTTCCTATTTACTTTGGAGCAGGCTTATTGTTATCAATAGACTTACAATATGCCAGAGGCTAGAGGCCAAAGCATTTCTTATTATTATTAATTTGATTCTATTCATAATTAGAAGTCACCTTGCTTGAAAAATATATATAAATGAGAGACTAATTCAGTCTGATAAAGCACTTTTATATAAGTTTAAATTCTTACTCCAAAGAATCCTGGAAACTGTAGTTAAGGGTGATGGAAATTGTAGCTTTGTGAGGGGGTAAACTACAGTTGCCATGATTCTTTGTGTTTTAAATGAGCTTTAAACATGGTGTGTCTGCAGCTAACATCTCTGGGCTGATATAGAGGAACTGCAGCCCCAAACATGTGGGGCTGCTTCTAGTTTTCAGAGCTTAGAATTATGCAGTTAGAAAGTTTCCTTTGGGTGGCACTCAACTTGTAGGGTTGCCATATTTTGAAGAGCAAAAAAGAGGACACATTTGCCGGTGCCTGGTGCAGGGGGAGGGTGTGTGGGAGTGGGCACATGCTGTGGGCGGGTGCATGCCAGAGCAACATTGGAGGGCTCTGGGGAGGGATACAGCAAAATTCATGCATGCAAAATGGGGTGGAGAGAGAGAGAGAGAGCTCTTTGGGGTGTGGGTACGGTCGGGGGGAGGTGGGGAGGCATACAAAATGTTAAGTTGTGGGTTAACATATCAGACGACACAGCGATTCTTCAAACAGCTCTTGTTTATTCACAGGCCAGGACAGAACTGAACTGAAGGGCTCAGCCAGCCTGCTTATATAGAGCTCCAGTACCACCTTACTGTAACAACTTTCTAAAACTATCCAATCACTGAACATCACTTTCGATCCTTCATTTGCATAACTACCTACAGTATCCCCCTGCTGGCCCAGGATGAGAACTTCACTATATAACACAAAATAATTAATTAAAAAGCCCAGGAAAGCAATGAAGCAAAACAGCAACTTTTTATGGAGAAGAAAGAGAAAGAGAGAGAGGAAGGCAGGAAGAGAGGGTGGTGGTGGTGAGTATGCAAAGGAGAGAGAGAAAATAAGAGAGGGTTTGGAGAAGGCCTTTGGTACCAAAGAGAAGGGGGTGGGGGGAAGGACATTTTGGCAAATTCAGAAAATTCAGCCAGGACAGAAATTCTACCCCTGAAAAAGAGGACATGTCCTGGAAAAAGAGGATGTATGGCAACGCAACAAATGGTTCTCGGAGCAGACCCACTGAAATGAATGAAACTAAGTCACATTTATTAATTTCAGTTAGTCTAATCAGTAAACCTTAAGCCCATCTGCGCTATACATGGCTTTCTCCAAAGTATCCTGGAAACTTTGACTTGCTAAGGGCTCTAAGAGCTGTTAGGAGACCCTTATTCCCCTCACAGACCTACAATTCTCAGAGCTCTCTAGGAAGAGGGATTGATTGTTAAACTACTCTGAGAATTGTAGCTCTGTGAGGGGAATAAGGGTCTCCTAACAGCTCTTAGCACCCTTTGCAAATTCCCTGCAGCAGAACTTTGCTCTCCAATGAACCAAGGTTAGCCAGGTGATGGAGATGTGACTTGCTAAAACGTCTGCACTGTTCAAACGATTCTAATCATGTGAGGCCTTGAATGCCTGCATAGGGCACCAGTTAAAACCATAATTCAGGAGGAATTTCAAGGCATGGTGTACCCATGAAACATCAGAAGGAAAAGGGTCTTAGGTACAGAGGGGGCTATCAATCAAACAGAATAAAGACAGCCTTATAGGCATTATGTTCTTAAATTGCCTTGTAATATATTTAATACAACAAAGCATTTGAAATGAAATAAGACCATTTTTTATGTTGTGTATCAAAAGTGTAACCAATCTGCTTCTGCAAACAAAAGGTATTTTTGTAGGGGGGAAATACACAGAAAAGGCTTTGTTAAACTGCCTCCATTTGCTAAATATCATGTTCAGTTGGGGATTGTTAGAACAGCATGATGTGAGCAGAATGCTTTCAGCTTCTGACATCAAGCTAATCTATCCAATTTAATGTTCCAGAAGGCTTGTAATAAAATACAATTTTTAAATGGATCATGGAAGAGAGAGAGAAAAGGGGATGTTATTTTTATGTATATTTATATGGGTTTTGTAATAAAAGCTGATTAATTCCACACATTAATAAAAATATAGCACATTTATAATTAAGCTCTGTAATAACAACCTTTCTAAGAAAAACGGTGTATTGTGTACAAGACCAAGAGAGTAAAACATGAAAACCTCCAGCAATGCTATGATGTAAAGTGGTGTCCGTGAATGTCACTCAGTTAAATGGAAACGGCTTGTTCTCTGCATTGTGCATGCGCTTATCATTTGACAGGTATTTAAATTCCCATTACTATGGCTGCACATGGGACTTTATTTTCATATTACGGTACATTCAACACACAACGTGATTTTGTCTTCTGTGTTGGGGAAGGGTGTTTCTGCACACCTACAGGCTTTGCCAGTCTGATGGGGCTTTGGGAAAGGAAAGGGACAATTGTTGCTTCTAAGACTTTGCATGTTCAGACCCAGAGACCTCCCCCCTAAATAAACACACATTTGACTCAAATTTTAGTTTTGGTTTTTGGCAGAATTTAGGCCACAACTTTATTGATTACAGAACAGAAATCATGCAGCGGCGGCGTGGCGGCAGGGGGAGGCCCCATTAGCTAAAGTGGTACCTCAGGTTAAGAACAGTTTCAGGTTAAGAACAGACCTCCAGAATGAATTAAGGTCTTAACCCGAGGTACCACTGTATAGGTGCCTTGAACCGTTAGACTGCACCCCACTGGCCAGATTTAACCCAGCAACGAGGGACCTACCAATCGGGTGTTGTGGCTGTCCAATATACCCACCCACAACCAGGAGGTCAGTCTCCAGGTCTCACCGCAACACGTGAGGACACACTATGTCGATAGCTGGAAGGAGGGTAGTGACGGGAAGGACGATAGGTCGGATGCTTTCAGAGAGTAGTCTAGAACAGCAGCGTGAGTCATTTCTTCAGTTGGAGATAGTGCCACCTATGGTTGGAATAGAAGTATACAGTTCACTCTCTCTCACAGAAGGGAAGTCCTCTTGTTAATGGCACTACAGTCGTACCTTGGTTGACGAACGACTTGCAAGTCAAACATTTCGCTCCCAAATGCCACAAACCTGGAAACGAGTGTTCTGGTTTTCGAACGTTCTTTGGAACCTGAATGTTTGGCACGGTTTCCAATTGGCTGCAGGAGCTTCCTACAGCCAATCGGAAGCTGGGCCTTGGTTTCTGAATGTTTTAGAAGTCGAATGGACTTCTGGAACGGATTCCATTTGACTTCCAAGGTACGATTGTATTTGGTTGGATACGACCAAATGCATTAAGGCTATCCCAGCATCCAACCTTTATGTTAGCAGATTTGTGATCTCAGGTTACTGAATGTGCATGTACGTGTGGGTGTGTGCAATGCACACACAGGTATGTTAAAATGAATGCTATTCATAGGTAAGCTAGAAAAACAAAGTATTCTTTGTGTATAAATGGCAGCATATTTTAATTAGGCACGCTTGTGCTTAATTTGCAAACATTGAAGGACATGTGAAATGAGGCAAACAAATGAATCTAAAAAGCGTGTCAGTAGCGGTTGGCATTTCTGGACTAATAAAACATACAATTCAGGAACCTCATATTTCTGTTGTCCTGGAATGGGCTGAATTGCTCACTAGGTGTGAATGAGTCACATTGCATGCCAGTCCAGGCATCTCTGGGTTTTATGTGCTTAGAGCTGATGCTGTTAAAAAGTGGTGTTGAGCTCACCAGTAACTGAAAAATTCCTGTGGAGCCTCACATATTTGCCAAGGCCAAGAGATTTATAGAAGTATACATGATATACGAGGAGGGTGTTTAAGTTGCTGGGGGTGATAACAAAAAGAAACATTAATAACAGATAAAGGGTTCTTAGCTAAACACACTAAAGCTTATTTAAAGAGACCAGATTAGATCATAGATCAACTGGGGCTTCAGTGAGAGGAAGAGTTTTGTCTTACACATGGGGCTGTGTACTATAACTCCACTTAGTTGAGGCTTTGTTAAGATAAAGCTGTTTGCCTTTCAATACAACCTTGAAATGACTTTCCCACATTAAAAACTTGGGATTTTCAGGTGAGCAGTTCACATAGTGGTTTTACACTGTGTTCCCTAAAGGCACCTGATAATGGGCAAGATTGTCATTCTGTTATGTTTTGAATGGGCTTGAACAAAATGATTCCCCCAAAAAAATAAATAAATAGAAAAATCTTGTTTTCCAAGCCCATCCTGACATGTGGATATTGCTACATTAGATGGTGATCGTGGAAAAATGATAGTGACCAGTCCTAATCACATATTCCCTATTACTCTACTGTTGAGTCCTCTGTTAAGACCTCGATATTGCCATGGCAGTCACGAAATTAAAAGACGCCTGCTCCTTGGAAGAAAGGCAATGGCAAACCTAGACAGCATCTTAAAAAGCAGAGACATCACCTTGCCAACAAAGGTCCGTATAGTTAAAGCCATGGTTTTCCAGTAGTGATGTATGGAAGTGAGAGCTGGACCATAAAGAAGGCTGATTGCCGAAGAATTGATGCTTTTGAATTATGGTGCTGGAGGAGACTCTTGAGAGTCCCATGGACTGCAAGAAGATCAAACGTATCCATTCTTAAGGAAATCAGCCCTGAGTGCTCACTGGAAGGACAGATCGTGAAGCTGAGGCTCCAATACTTTGGCCACCGCATGAGAAGAGAAGACTCCCTGGAAAAGACCCTGATGCTGGGAAAGATGGAGGGCACAAGGAGAAGGGGACGACAGAGGACGAGATGGTTGGACAGTGTTCTCGAAGCTACAAACATGAGTCTGACCAAACTGCGGGAGGCAGTGGAAGGCAGGAGTGCCTGGCGTGCTCTGGTCCATGGGGTCACGAAGAGTCGGACACGACTAAACGACTAAACAACATTGCCATGGCTTGCTTTGGCAATATCCATTATAGAACTGGGCTTTAATGGAAAGCTCACGGAGTCTCAATAACAGTGATGAGGCAGTTGTTCTGAGTAAGCAAGTGGAGGCAGAGTCACTTTCTGTTGTCAATTCTCCAGAATGGTTATTAAGCAGAGCCAAAAATTGACTGCTTTTATATTGTCCAGTAATACAATCACAAGCAGGGATTCTCATTACATTGTGGTTCAATACAGTATAGTCAGTGAGTGGAAAATTTGCTGTGGAGATGCTGGTCCCTGCAACAAATATGGCTTCTGGATGCTGGGTACACAGTAGGGCTGTGCATCAGATTAGGCCAAAGCCTGAACCAATATGGGCCAATTTGGTCATAGCTGGGCTTTGGCTGCCACAAGTGATCCTGGACTGCCAAAAGGCAGAACACAAGGGCACTGGGGAAAAATAAGCAGGCAGACTCTGCAAAGAGCAATGCAGCACTGTTTCTAAACAGGATTTCATACAGGCACCTACTAGAATTGGATACGCTTAGCTTCAGCAAAGTTGCTGCATCATTCAGAACATGTCCATTAACTAAATAATTGTATTTTAGACATTGCAGAGCCTACAGACGTTGTCAGCAAAGACTTATCTTTTCTTTAATTCATTATCTGTCCCTTCAAACAAATCAGGAGAGAAGTCAAAAACAGGACTTGTTATTATAAAAGTCTAGGACTGCAATTGCCATAATATAAACTGCTACAGAGTTTCCTTGAGCAATAACAGCCATTTCAAGCAATTTATTAAGGGGTATTTCTCCCTTCTAGCTTTGGCTGTTACTCAGAAAAGTCCTTTATGAATCCTTCCTTCTTTTACTTTCTTCACTTCTAACTTCCATGAGAAAATAGCATTTTAAATTCTTGGATCCTCCTTGGCTAGCGAAACTCACACCACACTGATTCACCTTATCAAAAACTAGCCCTTTGTAAACCTTTTCAGGATGGTTATTTTTGATTTGCTGGGAAATTCCATCTTTACAAACCTTTAGCTTTCAAATACAAACATACTTGCATGCAAATATCTAAGAAAACATGGTCTCCCACAGTAGGTCACCATGCTAGGGTAAACTACCATCACAGTTGACACCTTGCCAGTTTCTCACAACTATGATGCAGGAGTAAAGATGGCAGCAAGGTTCTGACCCATAAGCTTCACCTGATAACACTTGTCTCAAAGGAAAGCTAAGTAAGAAAGATGGAGAAGATTCGCAGAACTGACCCTGGGAAAACTGGGCTGGAGAACACAACCTCCCCACTGCTGTAAAGGCATATCACCTCCCCTTCCACCTGCTGCTCTCCGAGCACCTGCTACCTGAGACATTTGCATCATTCTGCCTAATGGAAGGGCCAGCCCTGCTTTGAAGAGCTTCCTGGTTTGTTTTGGCAATGAGCTGAGCTGTTTACCAAGTTGGGCGTAAATAGCCTGGCTTATTTCGGAGCCTATGCAACACAGACTGTGCA